GGCCTGCTCTGCTGAGCAGTTCTCCCTGGTGGGGGGCACATCTCACCTTCTCCCCAAGAGGTGTAGGGGGGGCTACATGGGAGAGTCGCTTGGGGAGCAGCACCACAGGTGGGTGCCACAGCGGGTCACATCCAAACAAGCGCATGCGACCTCACTGCTGGCGCACAGGACAAAACACACTCCACTCATGGGTGGAAAACCTTAGAGGGAACACTGGTTGGAACGGTCTCCTTTCCTCCCTCAGCCACTGACGCCGGGTTAGCTAACAGCTACACTCTTACAGGATGAGCAGTGAGCGTAGCAAAGGGTCACCCTGCACCTGACTCTTAGCGCTGGGCACGTTGCTCCTCCCAGCTCAGGAGAATCAGACATCCCCCCGTTCACAGCTCGGTCCCCAAAGGCAGCATACAGGTCAATGCTCTGCTGCGCAGAAGCCAGCCCACATTATTTCACACAACCACCATTCCACATCACTTGTGGAGCTAAGGGCTGTTTTGCTAAAGGCATATGTTGGACAGGGCACACTGGAGCTCAGCACAACTGCAGGTCTGCATGTGAGACTAGCACCAGCCTCTCATGGGATGGAGGCAGCACGAATGTTTGATCTCCAGAAGGTTAATCTGAGAGTACCTAAAACACCCACCCATCAGCATCATCTCCAAAATGCAAAGGGCCGCTTGCTATCTTCTAGCATACACTATGAGACTGAACACCAGCTACATATTATGCAGGCCTGGGAGCAAGTCAGGCTACGCTCCATGTCTTCACCCTCCAGCAAATGAGTCCCAAAGCCCCAGAAGTCCTGAGATGAAGGTGGATGTGGAAGGAGGCAGCACTCACCGGATGGGGTTCATATCCGGCCGGCTAGGTTTGGAAACAGCTTTGACAAACTTCTCTGCTAGCTGAATCCTAGAACAAACAGGGAAGAGAATTCTGTGCTTTAGCTACTGCTCTGGTGGCATTATCTAGGGACAGCTTCCCTGGGACAGGAGGGGATGCCAAGGAGACCTCTGTCCACACAACCCGCTCTGACACCAGTCACCCAAACATCCTCAGAGGCTGTCTGCTCCCCCAGCAAGGTGTCCTGCAATAGCAATTGCAGGGTTTCTGCAGTAGGGATGAATCTCCATAGGTTCCGCTAGGAAGTCCTAACGCAGCGTGTGCTGATGAGCCCATTCATGCATGAACAGGGGAGCGGGACTAACAGATGTGCTGGGCTAAGGAAGGAACTGTAGGGCTCTTCCCTTTCTGCAGCAAGGCACAACCCTTCCCAGTCAGATTGCCAGCAGTGCTGAGTATATCCATATGGTTAGCCAGCTCACTCCAGACTCAAAAGGGAGCCAGGCCTTCTCTGCTGCACAGAGGGGGTGGGCGAAGAGAGGAGGCTCCCACTTCAGAGATGGTTCCACAGTCCATCTGTGTACAAGCGCATCAACTAAGCACTCTCAGTTCCTGGTGGCCTATGAGCAACAGGGCAGCCTATGAGCCAGCCAAGATCCAACAGCTCTCGGCTCCATGCACGAGAGAAACTCCCAGAGCCTACCTACCGCTGGTTAAAGTGCTGCTCTCGGACATCATTGCCATTCAGCACCAAGACATCCAGGATATGGATGGCCTTGATCTTTCGCTGGGCTTTCCCCTAAGGAGAGAAACACAGGGAGTTAGGTTACAAGCTGTCTGCTGGCACTCAGCCGGTTCTATGCCTCCCATCACCACCTCCAGAGGAGGAGACCCATCTCCTGCCTTTGGGAACTTTTTCTGCTGCTGGTCCCCCTCTCCTCTCCCCAGTGAATTCTCTGGGACTTCTTCCCTTCCCCTGCTTCAATCTTCTATCCTACAAACCCTGTATACCAGTCCCTCGGGGGAGGGCTGGGACAACTCTACGAACCCCATCACCACCACACTGAGTCAGCTAGATGCCCTACAAATCATTCCCCTCACAAGACTGAATTCGCTGCTCCACCTCCAGGAGCAAGGACACAAGCTTCTGACCAACCCCTCTGGGCTCCCCCCACCTCTATGTTCCTGCTAATCTTTTCCATCCACGTGTGGATATTCTCCATCCATGTGCAGAATACATTTTTGTATATGCACTGAGACATGTATGAACATGCACCACCAATAGAAACATTAAACCTAGCTGTGGGCGCTCTGCGAATCAGCTGGGTGGCATTTGAATTTCTCTTGAGCGGCTGCACAAGCGTACAGCTTACAAAGAACACTGCCCCACTGTCTGTTTTTAAGAGCTGCAATTATCAAGTGGCTGAGCACATGTGGACATGTAGGGCAGTTTTAGGGTCTGTGACTGCTCAGCCTCTTACAGACTAATCAAAGAAATCTACTCAGCTTAAAACACAGCAGATCACTACAATAACAACACCATCTTCTACATGCAGCACAACCTCAGCCAGCCTTGTCAACAAAGGGTCACATTTCACACCTTCTACTGAAAAGTCCTTTGGTTCTCAGAACATCAGCTTTCCCCCTAAGACTATCACAGAACTGAATCATATTTCAATAAGTCTGTGCATTACAGATTGTCATATGTTGTTTATGACAACTAACGTGGAAGTTACAAAAATAAAACAATGCCAGACACCGGTCAGATAGTTCAGCAAATAATCTAAGATCAATGCTTCAAACACCTCCTCCAGCTGATGCCTTTGTAGCACCTTTGTTGCAACAGATCCAAACCCACTTCACAAACTCTGTACATTCAGCATCTTTGAAATGTAGCCACCTGTGGAGTGGTAGGGGGTACCCATATAGCTCACAGCAGCACTGCAAGTGCAGACATGTATGTGTGATCACCAAAGGCCACTGAGATATGTTTGATCAGACAATAGATCAACCACGGAGATGATGCAGAACACCACTGAAGGGAAGCAGTCATCTATGAATCTCTGGCTATAAACAGGAAAGGAGAGCTTATCCCAAAACAACTTCCCAGGGAATCCTCTCAGAAGCTGCACAGATGGACCATCTACCTACCATGTACTCCTAGCAATCACAAACTGCAGGCAGACTATGGACTGCCCCCTTATGGGGAAGGAACAATCTCTGACCTCTCCTTTTAGCTCATGAACAATCTCCACGGAGAGAAGGGTATCCCGCGGCAGCTCAGTTTTCAGGTCCAGTTTCATCCAGCGATCTGACTGGCGACCATCCCACGTGTAGATCTGGGATTTCTGCGCACAGGCGAAGAGAAACAGGGCAAGGTTAATTCCAAGCAGGAATCGGGCATGTTCGTTCTAGCTTAGCTGACCCAAA